CAAGACTTTCCATTTTACAGTGACAACTTTACTGTTTGGTTGGTGTTTACACCAACCTTGTCCACATGATGGAGCTCTTCTGCCCACTCCAAGATCAACTTCCTGCTCTCTTCAAGGCTGCGCTCAGTACGAGGGTCTGAACTCACAGGTTCTTTCTGACTCCATCCCTCTCCTACGACAACATACTGTCATACGGTGCTGGCTCCATTAAGACACAACAGACTGTTACAATGGCTACTGTTACTTTGTGGCCATACTTTTAAATTGTATGGCCACAAAGAAAAAAACTGATCGGTCTGAAGCCCCAAATAAATCAGTCGTTACTGAGGACCGGTGGTTTCTCCCCTCAGGTCCTCCATGTACCTTGCAGACTTGGTCCACTTGTTTTTTCCACTGTTGGATGAAGAGCACACAGTCCTGCAGGCTGCACAGATCCTTGAGGTCACCCTGACCAGACTGCTGCTGCTGCTGTTGGTCCAATTCAAGCTTTTAGAGGGAGGTTTTAATAGAAACTCTAAGAAAAACACAGATGTGTGGTTCGTACCCCAATCACCTGTGGGTGTTTTGTGGAGCTGATGGGCTGAGCAGGTCTGCTGGGGGCCAAACTGTGGCCCTTGATGTTTTCATCTGGCGGGGTCCAGCGTAGAGCCCCGGCGGATCTGCCTGGTTTGCTGTCGCTTGTTTTGCCTCCCAGCTCTGCAGAGGAAAATGGACTTTTGAGTTGAAGATAATGTTAAAAGTTTTGCAAAAAAATATGAAGGAAACAGATAATTTTTTTTACTTTTGGCAGATTTCAGGATGTTGCTCATTTTGACTCCTCTTCAGTTCTCCTGCTGGGAAATCACATGACAGGAATACAGTGGTCCATATCGCGGTTCTCCTTTCGCTCCCTCAGTACATCGCGGATTGTTTTTAAGTGTGAAATGTCGCTATATCGCGGTATTTAATTATTTTCGTGATAAAAAACAATTTCTAACTTAAGAAAAAATAAACAGTAAAACATAGCAAAAAGAATAATAAAATAAACTAAAAGACATCGCTGGTAGCTTCGTTTACCTAGAGTAGCTCGAACACAGCATTGAGCACGCTCTTCTGTTCCTCACGCTGATTGGCTCATGCATCGTAGCATCTCTCAGCCTCTCCCCTTGTCTGTCCGCCACTTGTACGTTGCTGTAAAGTTTGTGCTCTTGTGTTTGGTGAAGGTTTACCCTAATTTAACGCCCCACGATGCCTCCTAAACGCTCGGTATCTTCTCAGGCTTCTGTTACGGAGCCCAAACGAAGACGCTGACACAGATGACAGTTAACAGCCTTTATCTTTCTTTACAATAATGTGCGCTGTTCCCGGCTCTCATATACAGTCCGTCCGTTTTGCCCAGTATCACTCCTCTGTTCCCCGGAACTATTAACCCTTTCAAACGATGAAAATAACACAGTACTGTTACAATATATACGGAAATAATATAAATGATCTCGCCCCTACTTCACGGATTTTTCCTATTTCGTTTACCGCGGTACAAACGGTACAATTATATTTGTCTGTGTGTGTGTGTGTGTGTGTATGTGTATGTGTGTGTTTTGACAGTGGTTACCTTACCTGCGGTCAGCTGGAGCAGTGGTGCAGCTGTGAGGCTAAAGACGACTGGGTCCAGTTCATGTGTTCACCTCTGTTTGTGCCTGATCTTTGGACTCTACGACATAAGTGAGTCCGCCAGTAGATTCACTGTATTTTACTGAGAGTTTAAAACAGGTGCTGCTGAGGTTCTTAACAGATTCACATCATGTAGAACGAGTTGTTACTGTTAATATCAGTGCAGTTTATTCTTTTGGTAAATTAATAAATGTAATCGGGAGGTGTCTCCTGTGTGAAACTTAATTAATAAACTTTAGTTATTTAATTCAGTTATTATTAATTTGTGAGTAATCTATGACCTGCAGGATTGGACACATTTCAGACAGAGTGCAGGTGAACTTTTATATTAACATGGCTCCAGTAAGCAGTAAAGCAGTAAATGCTTACATGTTTACTGCTTTATGGCTTACTGTAGTTTGGTCAACAGTTAAGGAAATAATTCAAATGTTGGTCCAGAGTAAAGACGGGAAACTCTGAAAGAGCAATAAAAAGAAAAAGAAAACTTTTGGACACAAAGCTCAACAAAATGAAATAAATAAAATAAAATAAAAGTTAAATCATTTGTTTTGACAATGAAGGCAAGTGCCATAAAATTTGTCCATGTGCCGCTTTTGGCCCACAGACCAGATGTTAGTGTAATGCAGTGGTCAGTCAATTATTTTCTGTCATGCCTCTCCTTGAGCACAGAAACATTTTCTTGACTTATGAGTTACACAAAATGTTGAAGTATCCCTAAAACTAGTTTGAGTTCAACGAGTTAGTGAAATAGCATAAATTATCCGATTGTAAAAAAAAGTGAAAAATTATTTAAAAATATTACTTTTTTAGTATTATCCATTTATCCATCCAGTTTCATCTGCTTATCCGTTACCGACTCGTGGGGACAGCAGTCTCCATGACCACCACCCAAATCACACTGCACCGTACCAACCCCCCTGAACCTTCCTGCAGGTGGTGAGTCCACTGGAAGGTACCAACCGCCCTAACCGGGATTCAATGGAGGTGAACCCTGGGGTTCCACACCAATGACAGAGACATGGCCTCTGGGCCAAAGCGCCACGCTTTTTAAATATTAATATTACTTAAATTTAATTAAGTCAGGAGTGCATTAACTACTGTTGACAAAAATATTTAAATTAAGCTAAATGTTAACCTAAATTTAGCTAATAAATACATAAAAAACAATCTATAGTTGGGTAACGATTAGGAAACAAAAAGGTAAGAATAGTCATGTAGAGATATAGACATATAGATCAAACACTGTCAGCTAACACAGCTGAAATTTGGCTAAAACCAGAGTGGGGTATGATGTCAAGCAACATTTTAAAATAAAAGTGAGCCAGAAGATAGATAAAAATAAGTTTAAAAAACTTTGTTCACCTGTAGCAAAGGTTAGAACAAAACCTTTTTTAAACCCGCATTCTTTAAACCAGGTATAGGTTTGATATAACCAGATGTAAATATAGTCACCATGTTGCCCAGTGCTTCCGGAAAGCCGGAATAGAGGCTAAACAAAAACCGTTTAGTCCGGCCATGCAAATGTGTCTTGGAACGTATAACAGTGTAACATTAAGTGACCCACGTGACTGAGATTATTATATTATCCTGCTTTATTGTAGACTTTAACACGTGTGAACCCAAGGTGTCAGGACATTTAACTATAAACTGTTGACAAAAAGTCTTCCTGCACATGTAATAATCAGGTTTATTCTAAAATGTCATCACCATGTGTAATACTGGAACAAATGTAAAAAAAAAAAAATTTGACTGTGTTTTATCAGTAGAAGAAATAGCTCTGTGTTTATAAAAGTGGCATCACATATCTGTTCCTGCTCCAGACAAATCTACAGACACATATTTACATCAAAGTAAATCCTAATCTCTCCCATTTGGGATGTTTTCTGTTTCCAGGTTTACACTATCCTCTCGCAGCTCAGAGACTAGATTCTTAGTTCCAGTTCTTGAAGAACTGCTTGAAGATGATGGTCTCCTTCCCCTGAGGCAGTATCTCCACCTGAAACACACAAAGCAACCATCGCTGCTGACGTTTCTCACATTACCATGTACGGTCAGTGATTATCCAGTCCCTGTCAATGATCCATTCACGTTTACAACAGGCCAGGCCAAGGCCAGTTATAGCCAGTTATAGCCAGTTATAGCCTGTTATAACAATATATGGATGAGGTTTGTGTGTCTGTGAGCTTTAGGTGTTGATGAAGAACGCCCGCCTTTTGTATACAGCTCTACGTGGGTTGTTCCTTTTCACTGGCTCAAACCTTCTCTGGTCTTTATTTAAAACTGTAATTCCTTCAAAACTCACACTTTCATGGTACAAATAAAAATACAATTACAAAACAGTGCAATTTTATCACAGGGGCAGCCCTGCCTGCATTAGGTCCTGGCCCCCTATTGGCATTACCTGAGTTTTCATCCTGGGGTAGTGCATTTGTTCAATGAAGTTGTCGGCCATCTGTATGGCTACTTTCTTCTCGTCAGCATTGGCTCCGTTACCTGACAACCAGTTTCATGACATGATCAATAATCAATAATCATGTAATACAGTGGTTCTCATGTAAAACATTGATCTCTCTGAGTACCACCATGATGACCAACATTAGAATATAGCAGCATAGACCTTCACTGTTAGCTTCCACCACAGGAGAGATGTTTAGAAATGTTTGAGAACTGATGTAACACAAATGGACATAGTCTAAAAAAAAACAAAAAAAAAAAAACATACCCATTGTAATTTTATTGTATTGTAGGTTGGTAGACAAAGTTAAGTGTCTGGGCTATTATTATTATTTGTATAATAGTTTTCCCCGACTATGCTAATTTAGCATGATCCCTGAATTTGTTTGCTGGTTTGAAAACCTCCTTCATTCAACTGATACGTCTCCCTCTGACACCTGACGCCATTGTTTTCTATGATACTTTAAAAAGTGAAATTGAATCCAATATCTGGACACCGGCAGCAGGTGTTTGCAGGGACAGCTGGGAGTGTTTTGTTTTTCCTCACCTTTCCAAATGAAGATCTTCCCGTTAGCACCATTGTCCAGGATGAAGCAGTCGTCACGGAGTAGCAGCTCTTGGCCAAATGGACTCTTCTCTGACACTTTGGTCATGGTCATGGAACCTGTGGCATCGGACACCTGCAGAGAAAAGATGAACGGGGTGAAGGGGGACAACAGGTGAACAAAGGACCGGGGTCATTCCACTAAAATAGCTTTTCATTCATATTCTATACAGACAATGTACTGGCCTCATCTGTGCTTGAGGTTCTCACAGAGAAACACATTCATGTTTTGTTGTGTGATCCACAAGCAGAGGGCAAGTTTGGCTGAAAGTACCTTGTAGAGTGAGGCGGAGTTGGAGGCGTCTGCTTTGCTGTCCTCTTCTGGTGTACTCTCTGCCAGCGCTGGCATCTTTCCTAAGACCTGTTTGTTGACAGGAAATGAAATATTACCACCTGTACTTACAGTACTGCATTGAATATAATCATTGGTCACAGCTGTTGAATTTTGTACAACTAATTCCCATGAGAAGTAATATTTTCAGTGAGTATTATTTTCTAAATATTTAAATCTCTAAATTAAACAAAGCAAAGTACTCTATATGTGCAGTATGAGGAGTATTCCTAAATAATAAAGAAATACCTTTACTGTAATAATAACTACAACTCTGTAGCCTGAATCTCCCTGTAACTCAATGATAGTAGTATAGTAGTAGTGTAGTATAGTAATTTACATTATATTATCTCAGTTTGCTGTAATAGAGTCTGTAATTAACTAAGTTATATTATTGCAAAAATGCTCATACTGATAATACAGGAAACTAGTAAATTACAACATATAATATTATAATACTGTTTGGTATTTGTAGTTTGTCTCTACACATGAATGCTTTATTTTATAGTTCCTGTAAAAGTAACTTTCTTTCATACAGGGATAAATAATCTATAGGTAATACTATGTCTATACTGTACATGTGACCTATACATTTGTAAATATGTTTTTTATATGAAACGTGGCCTAGTTTCAGGTGTAAAAGTACTCTGTTATTTTACATCCAATACTTACCTGATTAAAAATACACTTTTTGTGTTTTGCTTTTAAAAATGCAAAATTAAAAAAACCAAAACAGATCAGTTAAATTAATTGAATATGCAGTACCACTGCTTAACCCTTAGAGGTCGCAGATTCCCTGCTAAGGTAAGAAAATTACTGAAAGTTTACACTAAAACGCTGCTGCTCTTTCAGTGTTTTCAGAATAAAGGACTTGAACTCATGTTGAGATCAACCATCTTCTGGAGTTTCTCATCACCTTGAGCATCTCCTCAGGCTCCTCCCCCTCATTGGCGTCCACGATTCGGGCTTTTCCGTGTCTGTCAGTGTCACGAATAAGCGAGGCGATCTCACGCACTTTACGCTTCTCAAAGATGTTGGCTTGAGATCCAATCCATGACACAATTGTCTGGAAAACAACAACAGGAGGTGAAAATTAAAGACGGAGATGAGGTCATATGGACACGACCAATAAGATGTCACTTCCTTCACCTCCCCGAGGTCAAGGATGAAGCAGTCTCCTTTGTTGAAGCTGCACCAGGACATCTCCACCTCCTTGGCACGAATGTTGCGCTTCCCTTTGATCTGGTACAACCGGTGCACGGTCCCTGAGCCCTGAGTCCTCCTGAAACCAGACTCCACACCGCCCTCCTGAAAGGAACACAGAGAGGAGACTGGATCACACAGAACTCTGGAGGCCTGATGGGAAATGTGTCTGTGGTTGAATTGACTTCCTATGATCCTGATGTCTCACCTTGTAGCTAATTCCTCTGGGAAACAGGGCCATGAACTCCCCGGACTCGTAGCCCTGGGCGTGCCTGTGCTGAATAGGGTCACCATCCAGGAAAGTGTCCAGCTGAGTGGCCAGCATGGCACACGCCACCTGTTCATCTCGAGATGATTTCTCACCTGCAGCAGGTAAAAAAAAAGACAATCCAAAACTTCCTGTAAATAAAGGAGGATGGAATGGCCATGACCATGTGTAAAATCAAAACAGATCATCAACTGTCTACAGAACATGGTGGGAGGTACGTTCTTTTGGTTGGTGCTGGGTCACCAAGATGTAAGTTGTGGCTTTGACAAAGAGGTCATTAATGAAGTAAGTGAGTGCAGGGAGGTTGGGGCAGGGGGGCGGGGGGGGGGGATGAGTCAGAGTGGAGAGTGCCCTCTCCAAGCTGTGACAATGAGCTTTGTGTTACCTAAGCACCAGATACATGCGAGGAACAAGGAGCACGTTTGACTACGGTAACAGTTCTCATGGAAAGTTAATGAGACCATGCCTGTTTTCCCTCTGGGATCTCTCTCTCTCTCTCTCTTCCCCTCCCTCCCTGTGTCATCATCCATCAGCTCTGTGTCTCAGGTGTCATCACAATTAGTGAGCAGGTCATTAGCCCTTTTGGACCGTAGCCCCGGACCCGGGGTAGATGTGTAGTAAACACATGATGATGATGAAGGGGCTCTCTTCCCCCCCCC